CAATCATCCAGCTCTCCATGAGCCGGCAGACTCAACGAATCGAGTTAACTTGAGTATCATTACTCATATAAGAAGTGGGCGCTTCATAATTTTTCAATTAGTGAATCACCAGTCGTCTGGTTGTCTGACGTTCGTCTAATTGTAAAACGTTTTCTTCACACCCAGAGGAAAGGGGCAAAGATGGCGGCTGCATTGGAAATAGAGGATTCGTCTCGACGAATTGCAATGAGGCACGCTCGGAATTATGAAGGAGGTGAGGATTGAGTTTTACCGGCTTAACTCGCGTAATTGATTGAGTAACTTGACTTTGAACCACGTTCCCTTGCAAATACACAGACGGACACATTAATATCTGTTACTGCATTCCTACTTTTGCGAGTCGGTGAAGTCGGTTCCCTGCAGAAAATGATGGGAGGGAACAAGTAAAGCTTCCTCTTAAGATCAGTTGGATTTGGACCACTACCCATACATACGTAGTTGAATCTCTAATGTTAAACTGGAAAAAAAAAACACATTTGATCTAGAGTCCAGACTCTTAAAAACATCGACAAGGCAAAATACTCTTGATTCAATCAGATTTAAGCTTAAATTAAGAGCCAAGCCTCTTAATTTGAGCGGATTTCCTTTTGATTTAAGCTTAAATCTGATTGAATCAAGAGTCCTTTTTCTTGTCAATGTTTTCAAGAGTCTGGACTATAGATCCAATGTGTTTTTTTTCCAGTGTATGCACTGAAAAAAAACTTTCCTGTTCAATTATATTACAACAGGAATTCTCGAAGAGTCAACCGGAAATCTCTTCGAAAGAACAGAAAATATCTTAGAACTGACAAGAATATCGTTTGAAACAAGGAGATCTCATGTTGGTTCAACGAGAAATTCCTGTCTTAGCATATTTAATAGGAATTCTTATTGATCAAACTGGAATTTTTATTCCGTGTACTTAGAATTTGCATGCTTCGGAGTTACCTTTCGCGTTAAAGTACGTGAAGATCCCCTCGTTTCAGCCTATAATTTTCTCCAAAGTGTCTAATTAGCTCTGTCAAATTTAAAAATGTTTTAGTTTTTGTTTCCCAAAGTTTTTCGATGCGGTGATTAATTTCTGTGACATCGGATATCCCAAATTCATTACCTGTCCTAAAATCGGCAATGTATCGACTCGTATGATGTATATGCAATTGCCAAAAACGAGTACAGTGGCGCTGCTGTCATCGCCAGATTTTTTATTCAGAGATTTTTTCTTTTTTTTTTATTTTTTACTCTTGAAAACATTGACAAGAAAAAGGACTCTTGATTCAATCAGATTTAAGCTTAAATCGAAAGGAAATCCGCTCAAATTACGAGGCTTGGTTCTTGATTTAAGCTTAAATCTGATTGAATCAAGAGTATTTTTTCTTGTCGCTGTTTTTAAGAGTCTGGACTCTAGATCCAGTGTGTTTTTTTCCCAGTGTATGGTTATGATAAATGGACGTCGATAAAATTGCGATACATTCCCCGCATCAAATCGCAACTTATCGTGATCGCTGCTACTTTTAGCGATCTTTATTCGCGACTCCTATCAGCTCCGCATCTTCACTGCGTAACGTAACTTCGCCCATTCATTCCTTCCAAGAGTCATAAAGTCATTGACCCCGGAGTGGAGGGAATCTCCCTCAACACCAGGCGTTGCACCGGAGCGGCATCATATTTGGAAACCGCGCTCCAGATCGGACTCCAGGGGGGCTCCATGACGAGCGCATCTAACGCATCACACGCGCACCGCTCGAGATGGGGGAGCGCACAGTGGACATAGTCAGAGGGAGAACTTAAACACATCCACCACACAGATTAAGTCCAGTGGCGGTACTTTCTCAGTGGGAACACTTGATTTTGCTCCATTTTTATCTATTTCAAAAATAGATTCTATTCGAACCTAGAATCGATGAATCGCTAGAGGGTAGTAATGAGGACATAAGCTGTTAAGCGTCCAGCCCACGTACAAACTGGGGCTCTTAAACTGGCACTAATTCTTCTATTTCTCAGCCATTTCTGCATTTCGAAGACAAAGATCGTCGGCCCGACGATCTTTGAAAGGCAACAGTCAACAGTTCCATCGATGAGGCTCTTTGAGGCCCCTAGTTTGAAAGTGGGCTGGACGCTTTACAGTTTTCACATAGAGTCTAACGGCGATTCTTAGAAGTTGGAAAAGCGGCTTTCTCTCCATTTAAACGCATGTTAAACAGTCGACTGTGCTTAGAGAAATGTTAACACAAAAGTTTAGATAATACGGGAATTAAAACACAAAATAACTCTAGCCTTTGGTAGAAATATTTGAAAAAAATAATAGTTTACTTGAGAACATTTAATAAAAAAATGAGTGGTGACATCGCATTCAGAGAAATGCTTTTTTCCAGTCTCTTCGTTGGTTTTTGCGCTGAACTCACCGCAAACTGTACCAAAATCAACACAAAATTTGTGTCGGTTTGTGTTGATCACTTCACTGGAAAAAAAGCACATTGGATCTAGAGTCCAGACTCTTAAAAACATCAACAAGAAAAAGTACTCTTGATTCGATCGGAATCTAGCTTAAATCAAGAACCAAGCCTCTTAATTGAAGCGGATTTTGTTTTGATTCAAGCAAAAACCCGATTGAATGAGGAGTATTTTTTCTTGTCAAGGTTTTCAAGAGTCTGGACTCTAGATCCGATGTGTTTTTTTTTTCCAGTGTCCGTGAAGTTTAGCACGTTTGGACTGAGTTAAGCAGAAAGGAACCAAACCACATTTTGGAAAAAATTGAGTTATGAGTGGTTTTGAACTCAACCACTGCTCTACTATCTATCACCAAAAATTCAACGATTTTGTTGGAGCAAATTTTGTAGAAATTGAACTTGAAGTTTATCTTTTACATTGAGTCTTATGCAAGAGCCAAACTTTAAGCCTCTTTTTCTCGGTTCGATCCCGATGTGGCTTGGTTCCTTTCTGTTTACCTCCGTCCATTTAAAATTGGAACATTTGATTCCAAAGGCCTCTAGACAAGGACTAATTAAACTTATGTCCGACCTTTGCCATCGGTTCATTCCACTGTGCGGCGCTGCGGTTCATCCAGTGCTCATTTTTCTCCTCTTTACGCAAGGCCGGAAACGGTGACAAAACGCGTCGACAAAGCCCATAATCGTCGCCGCGAAGATTCAAGGGTAGAACCGACTTCGAGATATGAGCCCTGCTGATCGTAAAACCGCACAATGTCCAGGGCTCACGTGAGAATTAAGTCGCGCGCTTGCGTCTGATACTGCCCGCGCGCGGCTATGATCGGTGGGAATCGCAGAGGGCGCGCTCTACTGCTCCCGGGACTTGGCCGATTTTCCAGCTGGGAGTTCTGCCGTGCAACGGAAGAATGAAGTATGAGCCTTCAGACGTTGCCAGACTTTCCCTATTGAAGTACACATTTTCGGGGAAATCTGCGAAAATTTAGTCAACTGGAAAAAAAAAAAAAAAAAAAAAAAAAAAAAAAAAAAAAAAAAACACATTGGATCTAAAGTCCAGACTCTTGAAAACATACAAGAAAAAATACCCTTGATTCAATCGGATTTTTCCTTGAATCAAAACGAAATCCGCTTAAATTAAGAGGCTTGGTTCTTGATGTAAGCTAGATTCTGATTGAATCAAGAGTACTTTTTCTTGTCGATGTTTGTAAGAGTCTGGACTCTAAATCCATTTTTTTTCCCAGTGTCCTTAAATTTTTCTGATAATTTTATTCACATCCGATGCAGGGTGTCTACTAAAATAAGCTAGTCAAAAATCAGTACATTTACCGTACGCTTCCAGTACATTCCCAAGAAATTCAGTACCTCCTCAACAGAAAAATTCAGTACTTTTTCAGTACCTCCAATTGACGAAATTTCAAAAATTCGAATATCTCGCTCAAATTGCGACAAAAATGACAAACAAATAAAAAACTTCCCAACCTTCTTACGGAATTTCCGCTAATCTTCAATACTTCCGGACCGCCCTTAAAAAAACAGTACTATTTCCGGAAATTCCGGACTTGTAGACACCCTGCATTCTTATCTAAAGCCTCTGGAAATTTCACGCGATAATACGCATAACTTTTCTTAAAATAAACATTTTACCAGAGGAAATTTGACAACTCTCAAATGTGCATACGTCGTTTTTACTCAGCGGGGCAGAGTTGGCACTCGTCCCGACTCGGCCTAGGGTCCCCTGAACCGAGAAAACAGACTCCGCGACGTATTGTTCCCACTTGGATGGTGGCCGCCTTGAAAATCACTCATTTTCATGTCCAGAGTGAGTCATCCCGGTGCACTGTTAAAAATTTAGGAATTAAATCCGGAGCACAATAAAAAACGCCCGGCTCAGAACGTCTCAATAGTTCACTGAGCAAGGCGCGAATTCAAGCATTTTGATACATGTTTCCTCTTCAAGATTACAAACTTTAAAAGCATTGCAAGCAAGGCAAAATGCGCTTCTAATAGTATCACTAGAAAAAAAAGCACATTGGATCTAGAGTCCAGACTCTTGAAAACATTGACAAGAAAAAGGACTCTTGATCCAATCAGATGTAAGCTTAAATCAAAAGGAAATCCGCTCAAATTAAGAGGCTTGGTTCTTGATTTAAGCTGAAATCCGATTAAATCAAGAGTATTTTTTCTTGTCGATGTTTTTAAGAGTCTGCGGACTCTAGATCCAATGTGTTTTTTCTTCCAGTGTTTGGTATGGTGGTTGATGGATTTGCTTCTTTAAGGAAACGAACACTGAAAAAAAGTATGGTAACGGCTAGTATAAGTCTACTTGATTTTTTACACAATGGTACTAATCAGTGAAAATGATCAGAATAATAGTAGTATTCACCAGAATGTAGGTAATTCTTACCATAATATGGTAAATGCGACCATACAATCTGGTATCAATCACCATACTCGGATCACTATGTCAGGGTATGGTAAAATCTACCATATTTTTTTTTCAGTGAAAGTATACAGAGAAGAATATGAGAAATGACTTACCTGAACTTTGCTGCATGGCAGAACATTATAGTCTCTTCTCAATCTCTGACGGTGGGCCTCAGTGACCAGTCGACCAGTGTTTCTCCAAACTAAAACAGTGTCGAATTTGAGCCGAGGCTGAAACAAAAGAAAAGACCAAAATACAATATCCATGAAAAATGAACCAGCAGATGAGGCATCTGAACATTTGTCATTATCATTTGCACAAAAGCGATTTAATTAATAAATAAGACTTTGATACAATTACATTTCTTTTACGGATACTCTCGTACAAGCTATAGAGTTACATTCACCCCTTGCACTGTAAATGGTGACAACGTGTTTTCAAAACCCTGCACTGACAGTCAAAAGCAAAGAGGTAAAAGTTAAGCTCAAAGCTACTTTACGCCCGAGGTCTTATCCGCACGAATGCAGTTTGGGCTAATAGGTTCCACGAACTGAGAGGGGGTCGAAGAACAATAATAGCTAAGTTATAAAAAGTTCCTGGAACAAGTTCGCCCGAAGTTCCGCGAACCGTGCACTTGTGAACAAAGTCTGACGTGATGTTCATCGGACATTTTTTTGAACAAAAAGCGAATAAAATTCGCCTTATGATGACTACTACTGCGATCAGTTAGTGAATAAAGACTACTAGGTTTTATTTAGAAATTAGATTGCTAAACCATTGCTCGACTCTTTTTTTCGTCAACCGTCATCGGATGCTCTCGGGTCGAGCTTTGACTCCGAAAGTAATAATTACACAATGGGAAAGATAGCAGTGCGGTGACTCTAAAATATACACTGGCAAAAAAAGTCGCATGGATCTAGAGTCCAGACTCTTAATAATATTTACAAGAAAAATACTCTTGACTAAATCCGACTTTTTCTTGAATTGAAGAGCCAAGCTCCTTGATTTAGGCGGATTTTCTATTGATTCAAGCAAAAGGTCTGATTGAATCAAGAGTATTTCTCTTGTCAACGTTTTTAAGAGTTTGGACTAGATCAAAGCGACTTTTTTCCAGAGTATTGTTTCTGGCATCTGCAAATACAAATACTGCAAGACGCTTCGCCAAATCAACCGCATCTAGGATTATGGTGAAGTATTTTTGAAAATCTCTTGAATTCTCGTCTAAAATAAGGGAGAGGTCTTTGACTCCAGCTCAAAAGTGTGGGCCTCATCCACTCAGAGGTGGGCTCATCTCTCCTGTTTTCCACGGTTGACGATAATTTATAAAGTCGTAAAGAAAATCATAACCCGTGGTCCCTAAATCAACGCACCGAGACACGACAATCTAATCATCTCTCCTCCGACGAAAAGGCGTACATCGATTTTCGAGTGAGCCCCAGTGAGGATTAATTCCTATGCAAAACGGGTCTCACGTGGAGATCGAGAAATGCCCTTGCGCTAGAGGGGCGACGTAATGAGTAAGGGAAATGTCACCGTTCATTGTGCGCAGATTTTTCTCTTTTATTGCGAGCGTTGTTTCCTTTGTTTTTGATCGGAGATTTTGTTGTCTTTTTTACGAGTACGCAGGGTTGTCTCCCCGAGGGAATAAAAAAATACCTTTGAAAGGCCACGTCGTTACGATTGCTTTATTTTTTCTAAGGAGACAACACTGCTTGAAACATTCTTTTATTGGCGAGATGGCCATCTACTACAATTCAGCGATATTCGTCACGAGTCGTTTCGCAATGAATTATGTCAGAATATGACGCATCCGTCTGTGCTGCCGTGCTAAGGAAGAACGCCGTATGAACACTCGAGAGTTGCCAAATTTCCTTCGGTAAAATGTTCATTTTTGAGGGAAGCTATGAATATTTTGCCTTTAAATTTACAGAATCTTTAGGTAAAATTGTGAACAAAATTATCTGAAACGTTGGGAGGAAAATTTTCAGAAATTTACCAGGAAATTCGAGTTTTATGAAAGGAAATTTGGCAACGCCTGCAGGTTCATACGGCGTTTTTCCTTAGCATGACAGTATGTGTGTGGTTGTAATTTTCTCGGTCCCCCGCCTTCTTCTCCCTCTCCCACTCTCTAATTTTCCGCCTTCTCAAATTTGACTGACATCGTTCGAAGTCGCCTTCAATTTTTCCCTACTTCCTTTCTGATCAATGCTTTCTGATAATGAGGTCGTTTTTTTTTTAAAAAAAAATCCGTGGACTGTCTCATATCTCTTAATACCTTTATAACTTACATGAGACAGAACCTTAAACTTTTCAAAAATCAATTTTAAGACACCTGCTGCACAAATGAAATTTAAAATTGGAAATGAACTTTAAAATTTTTGAATTCATCCCTACAAACGTTCTCTTATTATAGCTGGTCCATTTAGCTGTGTTTAAAACATGCTATGAATCCATCAGAAAACCAGGAACTTGAAGACATAGGTCACACGGTAGTTTCCAGTACGGAAATAAGCACTTCAAACTCCATGTGATCTCCGTGCGACTCCTCACGTATCATCTTCAGCCGTTAGTCTAGAAAACTAACGTGCGTGCACACCGATTCTCCGTTCAAAGTTCCTGTTTCTTACGGAAATGATCAGATTTACGACCCCGAAACCAATCGCTTGATCATGCACGGAGTATTAATTTGCGGACATTACGGGAGCAATTTTGAATCCTCGACTCTCTATGGACAAGCACTTAATAGCTTCAAGGACTTCCCGGACAAAGGCAACTTTTCTGATGAAACACCCAACTCTCCGACAATCAAACGATGGCCGTAATAGGCCTGATGGCCGCATCTCTGCTCCCTGATGGCCATTAATGAAAGCGATTTCCGATGCAGAGAAACCAGCTCCCTTAGCATTTCGCAAGCGCACTTGCCGGATCGGGCGTTTATTTTGAAGTTTTCTGGGACTCCACGCGGGGTGGAAATGGGATTTCCGTGCGATATGGAAACGGTCGGGCGGGTTTCCGTAGCCGCGAGGACCCGTGCGCATGCGCAGTATTGCGCGTATTAGACCGGTGTTTCGCGATGGAGGTGCTTAACGTCGAAAATTGCGCGTGCAATATTTATAAGCATGGTTGAATTGCGTTGTTAGATGACTTTCTGGGACTGGCCTATGGTCACGAGCTCTTGTTAGGCGGACAATATGTCGTCGACTTGAAACTCACCATAGCCACCACAGGGTGTCTACTACAACAGGCTGACCAAAAATCAGTACTTTTTCGGTACATTCCCAAGATTTTCAGTACCTCCTCAATGGTGAAAATTCAGTACTTTTTCAGTACCTCCAATTGACGAAATTCGAAAGATTTCGAAAATTTGAATTTCTCGCTCTAATTGTGACAAAAATTACGACAAATTTAAAAAAAATCCGGACTTCCTTGCGGAATTTTCGCACTTTTTCAGTACTTCCGGACCGCCCTCAAAAAATCCGTACTATTTCCGGACTTTTAGATACCCTGCACCATCAAGATTCCCAGGGGTTTCGTCTCGACGGGATCATTTTGATGGTGAAACAAGAGTCATGAATAGTGGCGGGTGATATGTTCCTTTTTAACTTCGATTCCTGTGAAATTAAGTAACTTTTACCTACATCGAGTGGAATCTCAAGTGGAAAATTATCGAACAGAAAATCGAGATGGGTTGAGATAAAATTTCGATTTCATCGAAAATGATTTTATAGAGACAGAATTGCGACAGTATTGAGAGATATCTAATAAGTTATATCCACTAAAAAGTATCTCTGTGTAAAAAATCAAGGAGACTCAGAATTGCGACAGTATTGAGAGATATCTAATAAGTTATATCCACTAAAAAGTATCTCTGTGTATAAAAAATCAAGTAGACTTATAGTAAATTCTACTACACTTTTTTTCAGTGTGCTTCGTCGATAAAAGCTTCGCGCTTCCACGGGGAGCTTTGCGAAATCAATTCGCGGGAGTATCGAGTGAGGCTGACGAGATAATGGGTGTCTAATTGCGCGGCCTTATACGGGCGTCTTGACTTTGGGATGAAAGCGGCGGTAATGACCACGGCTCCCGGCCGAAAGGTCAACGGTGCCCCGCGTCCCCGCGATAAAAAGATCCGCCGCTGGTAATTGTTGTGGTTTCGCCGGTGACATTGACAATTGAATGGCCCGACGTTGAAGTGTACTCCTTGTCAGTCGAGGAGAAGAAGAAGGGAAATGCAAGAGGAACGATAAATTTGACTTTCTCGGTGTCTCGTTGATTTTCGCGGGTATAACAGATTCTTCGTCAGAGTCAGAGTCGAAATTGAGGAGCTTTCCGGAAAAAGGGCACATAGCTAAAAATTTCGTTTGAGATGAATGCATTTGAATTTTTGATCATTATCATTCCTCTACGGCCACAACAATAAAAACACACTAAAATACAAAAACGAATGGGAATACAAGGCTATAGAGGATAAATAAACAAACAGGACCAACCATTTTCTTGTTTTAATTTTTACATTTTTTAGCTGAGAATGGGCATGTAATTGGCCCGAAACGTCCTGGTTGTTTATTTATCCTCTTTGGCCTTGTATACCCATTTGTTTTTGTATTTTAGTGTGTTTTTATTGTTGTCTGCATTCGGGCTATTGCGTCTCTTGCCCTCTTATCTCTATGGCCACTAACAGTGACTTTCGTTCGAAATCAGGAGTTCAAGCTGCGATGAAAGGCACCATCAGTGGCCAGAAATTTACGATGGAAACTTAAAATGAATTTTTCTCAACGCTGTTTTGTTATGTATGTGCCCTTTTTCCAGAAAGCCATTAAATTTGAAAATAGAATCATTGATAATACCATTCGATTGTAGAGACCCTGTACTGCAATTTTCCCCCAGACGTAAAAGGTATTTTCAGAAGTCAACATTCAGATTTGCCGATGGTCACCTTCCGGTCAAAATATCACGAACGCCATGTGATGTTTCAAAATTTCCGCCTTCTTTTTTTACAGAGAAATCTCTCAACGAGGCTGTTCGAAAATTTTACTGAATTCTCTTCTTGCTATCGATAAAATTCAGGGGAATATTCAAATTGATTCAACCAACAATTCCTCTGAAAGAAATAAAATAAAATGGCGACGGAAATTTTGAAACATTACATGACGATTATGATACTTTGGTCGGAAAAAGACGATGTCTCATTGATTTTCACGGGAGTTACAGAGTTTTCGCTCGGTGGATC